TGCCGCAGAGGCGGCTTACGCGGCAATGGAAAAAGATGCCTTGATCCAGATTGCACCCAAGGAAGAATCAACACCCGCTCCATCAGGAAAGTCCAAAAAGTCCAAAGTCCAAGAACCCCCCGCCAGCCCTCCACCCCAGACAGTCAACTATGAATCGAAAGGGTACGTTCAAATCTACGAGCAAATCTGGAGAGACTTGGCCAGGAAAGATATTCCCAAAGTATATCGCATCAAGCAAGTATCTCTTGCTACCAGAAGCGAAAATCTCCGCAAAACTGCCATCCTCGCGAGCAAACAAGCGCGCAAATGGCAGGAGCGCACCAACAAGAGTATGAAGGATACACAAGCACGAGCGAAACGTGTCATGCGGGAGATGATGTCCTTCTGGAAACGCAACGAGCGAGAAGAGCGAGATCTACGTCGTCTGGCCGAGAGGAAGGAGATTGAAGACGCAAAGAAAGCTGAGGCGGATCGTGAGGCCAACAGACAGAAGCGAAAGCTCAACTTCCTTATCTCGCAAACCGAGATCTACTCACACTTCATCGGGCGAAAGATCAAAACAGACGAAATCGAAAGAGCTACAGACGATGCCGAAGTTGCCGGGGCTGTGGAGAAGAGGGTACCTGCCGCAGATCGGGACCGTGGGATGGACGACTTGTCACTGTCTGATGAGCACGGAAATCACAAAGTCACAAACTTTGAAGACCTCGATTTCGACGCCGAGGACGAGTCGGAGCTGAGAAAAGCCGCGGCGGCCAACGCTGCAAGCGCATTACAAGATGCGCAGGACAAAGCCCGCAACTTCAACGCGCAAGAACCGATGGATGCCTTTGATTCTAGTGAGATGAACTTCCAGAACCCCACCATGGCTGGCGATGTCCAGGTCTCCCAGCCCAAGATGTTACAAGCGCAACTCAAGGAGTACCAGCTCAAGGGCCTCAATTGGCTAGTCAACCTTTACGAGCAAGGTATCAACGGCATCCTGGCAGACGAGATGGGTCTCGGCAAAACGGTGCAATCCATCTCGGTCATGGGCTACCTTGCGGAACAGCACAACATCTGGGGACCGTTCTTGGTCATTGCTCCCGCCTCGACGCTACACAACTGGCAACAAGAAATTACCAGATTTGTACCGGCCATCAAGGTTCTTCCATATTGGGGCAGTGCAAAAGACCGCAAGATTCTGCGAAAGTTCTGGGACCGGAAACACATTACTTACACGAAAGACTCCGAGTTTCATGTTCTCGTTACTTCATATCAACTTGTCGTTCAGGATGCTCAATATTTCCAGAAGATCAGATGGCAGTACATGATTCTGGACGAGGCGCAAGCAATCAAGTCGTCGAGCAGTTCGAGATGGAAGACACTTCTCGCTTTCCAGTGCCGCAACCGACTTTTGCTGACCGGTACGCCTATCCAGAATAACATGCAGGAGTTGTGGGCTCTACTCCACTTCATCATGCCGACGCTCTTCGACTCTCATGACGAGTTCAGCGACTGGTTCTCGAAAGATATTGAAAGCCACGCGCAGAGCAACACCAAGTTGAACCAGGATCAACTCAAGCGTCTGCATATGATTCTCAAGCCGTTCATGTTGCGACGTGTCAAGGCCCACGTGCAGAAAGAACTTGGCGACAAGGTTGAGAAGGATGTCTTCTGTGAGCTCACCTACCGACAACGAGCATACTATTCGAATTTGCGTAGCAAGATCAGCATCATGGACCTTATCGAGAAGGCGGCGCTGGGTGGCGACGAAGATACTGCCACACTGATGAACTTGGTCATGCAGTTCCGCAAAGTTTGCAACCACCCGGATTTGTTCGAACGAGCAGACACGACGTCCCCCTTCTCGATGTCGTATTATGCCGAGACTGCCTCATTCGTCCGCGAGGGGTCATTTGTGCAGGTTGGCTATTCAGTTCGCAACCAGATTCAATATGATTTACCTCGAGTACTTTGTAATGATGTCGGAAGAATTGACATTGCTGGGCCTGGCAATCCGTACGCTGGGTTCCGACGCGCTGGCTTCAAGACCAAGGGACTTGGGGGCTTGATGAGAATCTGGACTCCTGAGCACATCAAAAACTCGGCGGAGGAAGACGGAGCTTTCTCATTCTTGCGATTTGTCGACACCTCGGCAGGTGAAGCCTCATTTCATGGCGAATCGGGACTTTTTGAGCGCGCGATGAAGCTCAAGAAACAGCAGGGACGAGGCTTACACATCTTTCAAGATTCTGAGGACGGACCCGACGGGCCGCCTGTGCATGCTATGTTCAACATCGTGGAAAACCAACCGCGTCGGGCCCTGATGGAACTGGACCCCAACTCGAACCTCGCGAGACTTTGTAATGTTTCCACGGATACCCTTGCAGAACATGGAGTCTCAGTGCTCGAGCCGGCGGCCCGGCCAAAGGCGTTGGCTCCGCCGATTGAGATCAGTTGCTTCGATCAATCGTCCATCTCTGAGCGACACTTGACCTTTTTCAACATGGATATTCGCAGTACTCTGTATCCGCTGGAAGCTTCACTCGAGGAGAAGTTGCTTGAGCGTGACGTGGATCCTGCCAATTTCCCCATCTCCAACATGCTACCAAGGCCGGAATCTGCGAAGGCCAGGTACACCAACATCTCGGTGCCATCGATGCGCCGATTTGTTACAGATTCGGGCAAGTTGGCGAAACTGGATCAGCTGCTCCGAGAACTCAAGATGGGCGGCCACCGTGTGCTCTTGTACTTCCAGATGACGCGTATGATTGATTTGATGGAAGAATACCTTACGTACCGTAACTACAAGTATTGTCGACTGGATGGTAGTACCAAACTGGAAGACCGGCGAGATACGGTGCACGACTTCCAAACGCGGCCCGAGATCTTCATCTTCCTATTGTCGACACGTGCAGGTGGTCTCGGTATCAATCTGACATCTGCCGACACCGTCATCTTCTACGACTCGGACTGGAATCCCACGATCGACTCACAAGCCATGGACCGAGCGCATCGACTTGGTCAGACCAAGCAGGTTACTGTCTATCGCCTCATCACTCGAGGCACGATCGAAGAACGAATCCGCAAGCGGGCGATGCAGAAAGAGGAAGTCCAACGTGTCGTCATCACCGGTGGAGACGGGGCTGGTGTGGACTTCAATACTCGTGATCGACGTGAAAATAGGACCAAGGATATTGCCATGTGGCTTGCCGACGACGACCAAGCGGCTCTTATTGAGCAAAAAGAGAAGGAGATTGCCGAGAAACCTGACGAAGAGAACACAAAGAAGCGAAGCAAGAAGGCAGCAGCAGCAGCCGCTTCACGTAAGCGAAAGGGCGAGATGAGTTTGGATGACATGTATCATGAGGGTGAGTGCTTATTCCCCGGTCTAACGTTGTTCTCTGTCGTTGGCTTTGGCTAACCGTGTTTCCCCTCCAGGCGAAGGACATTTCGAAGATGCTTCGGCGAAACCATCCGGCGCAGCAACGCCAGTAAGTGCGCCCGAGACAGCGGCTGGACCAAAGCGCGGGCCGCGTGGTGGACGCGGTGTGAGCAAGAAAGCCAAAACGGCCAAACAGAGACTTGCAATTGTCGATGCTGAAGGGGATCTGGGTATGAGCGGGACATGAACCATCAGGGGCGATCTGGAACGTTTCATGGAAGACGCAGCACCAAAAAGAGACACAAGGGATATTAATATCAAAGACAAAGGGACCCGGGTCTACTGGGGTTTTGAGATAGAATTGGCCAGGGAAGCAGGGTATCGGGAGTGACTTTTTTAGCGTTTGATGGCGCCCAATGTACGATTATGGGAAACTGTTTGCAACATTCGAGGGCCGTACGAGGTTACGGGATGATGAAGCGGACTGGGGCTCAGACTCATACCGGCTTTGGGGGTGGAAGAACATTGCATGGCAGGACGAGGGAGAGCGAGACGAGGGTGTTTGCTGTGGGTGAGGCGTGAGGCTCATGCTCTCACGGGTGCTACTCGGGTATCAGCAGCACCTTTTCGACACGGCAATGTGTTGGGTTGGCCAAGCAAAAAGATTCATCATTAGTTTATCATTCAGAAGAGAAAAGAGGGTTTGACAATCTTGACTCCTCCTGTTTTCCATGTATTTATCCAAACTCTCTGACTCGGTGGCTTCGGAGGTCGTCGCGGACGAGAATGCCGGTACGAGTAGTTTGTATATTGCTAGCGAGTGGAGGACGTCGGACAAGGACGCCTGTCTGCGGCCCTGGTGGCCCTGGACCTTTTGGAAGATAGGTTCCTGAGTATGAGATACAGGTGGATTGTTTCAAGATCAACCTCTAGGGCCAGGTGGTCATGTCCGCGTCGAGGCTCCACGGAGGCGATGGGGTTGTGATGATAGCGACTGTGATGGAGGATGGGAAAGTGGAGGAGCGAGTGCCAGGAACCGCAAGCCCCCCTGTCAAGGAGAAGGAATCCGCAGATGAAAGATACGAGTATGTCCATGATGTCCAGTACTCGTGCTTCATGCCTCGGAGGAGGTAGTAAGGAATAGTCGAGGGTGGCTGATGGTGATGGTGAGGACGAGGATGAGAATTCATCTCGCTCTCGAGCATGCACCCCCCCGCCATTTTACTTGGTGCAATGTTCAATGTTCACACTGCCCGTGTCTCCCCCTTCAAATCGCATGCGCACAACCTTGCATTAAATTATTTCCCACCCACAATCCAATCCGTCCGAGTCTCTGCCAGCCACATACGTCCTTGATAACCCCCTTGCGACGCCCTACGACGGCCCGGCGCTCGTCAAATAGATAAGCTCATGAAGCTTGTTTGTCGGTGGATCTCTTATATACAGAAATGATTCAGTATCCATCAATCAATCGCCATGGGGTAGCTAACAAGTATGATAGATATAAGTATCAGTGTCCACTGCCGCTCATGTCCTTCTCCCCTGCTATCGTCTGTGCCTTTCTTGTCCTTTGCCTTTCTTCTACCGCGATAGCCTCCAGTTGACAGGTCTTTTCGCCTGCGTCCACCATACCATGGCTCCTCGCCGCCTGTCGTCTTTGGTGGGCAGTACGAAGGATGGACCGTTTGACTCTACTATTGCGACCGAAACCCAACTGGCACAGCTGGGCTATGAGCAAGGTATGCAACCCTCTCACATGACGGAGCCTCGTTGCTGACTCCCTGGAACAAAGAACTCAAACGCTCATTCTCCCTTCTGGGCATGGTGGGATTCAGCTTTTCCATCGTCACTTGCTGGACCGCCCTGGGAGGGACTTTGATCGTGGGCATCGTCGCTGGCGGTCCTCCCGTCATGGTCTGGTCGTGGGTGGGCATTTGTCTGCTCTCCCTGACCGTCGCCTACTCGTTTGCCGAAATGTGCTCCGCCTATCCCACTGCTGGCGGCCAGTACAGCTGGGTGGCTATCCTCGCTCCGCCCAAATACGCCCGTGGTGCCGCTTTTGTCACGGGGTGGTTCATGTGTACGGGCATCGTGGCCATGGGCGCCGTCAACAACTTTGTGAGCCTCTCTGTGGTCTCGCGTCAATTCGTCATTCCTACAAAGCCTTGGCTTACTAACTGTCTCCTCGACGTATTCCAACAGCTCGGCGCAAACTTCATCCTTGGAATGGCCAATCTGAACAATCCATCCTATACCATCGAGCGTTGGCATACCGTCCTGGTGACCTACCTGATAGCAACACTCGCCGCCCTCTCGAACGTCTACCTCTCCCGCTGGCTCAATCAGATCTCTACCTTTGCCGTGGCGTGGAACATTCTCAGCTTTTTTGTCGTCATCATCACCATCCTGGCCGCCAACGATCACAAACAGTCTGCCAGCTTTGTATTTTCTGATTTTCAGAACCAGACCGGTTTCTCGTCGGGCGGCATGGCTGTCATGATTGGTCTTTTACAGACATTGTTTGGTACGTCATAGACTAGGGTGTCTATTTTTGCTATTTTCTCCATCTAACCGCCCGGGCAGGCATGTGCTGCTACGATGCTCCTAGGTAAGGACTGAAAGCCCCTTGATATGGGTCAAATACGCTATACGTCTTGTAAGCTAATCCTTGTGCTCTCTTTCCCAGCCACATGATCGAGGAAATGCTCAACCCGGCAAAGGAAGCACCCCAGGCCATCATCCTCTCTGTATACCTAGGTGCTGTGACCGGATTTGTGTTCCTGATCTCGGCGTTCTTCTGTATCGGCGATCTCGACGCTACGGCAACAACGCCGACAGGGGTGCCGCTGATCCAGATCTTCTTCGACAGCACAGGCAGCACTGGAGGGGCGACAACGCTCGCCTCCATGATCACCGTCATCATGCTCATCTGCTCCAACTCGCTAATGGCCGAGGGGTCGCGGGCACTCTGGGCATTTTCACGCGACCACGGCCTGCCCTTTAGCAAGCTGTGGGCCCGCGTGAACAAGAGGTCCCAAGTCCCCGTGTACAGCGTGCTGCTGTGCGGTGTGCTCCAAGCCGGGCTGAACAGCATCTACTACGCCTCCTTCGAAGGGTTCTCGACCGTCATCTCCATCGCCACCTTTGGCTTCTACCTCTCGTACGCAGCGCCGCTGTTCGTGCGGCTGTGGTCACTCGTCACACACGCCAACCCGGCCGCGACCACCATCCGCGGCGGCGTCTACACCCTCGGCCGGTGGTCGCCCTACATGAACCTAGCGGGCCTGCTGTTCCTGGTCTTTGCGGGCATCGACTTCAACTTCCCCCAAGTCGGCCCCGTCACCGCCAGCAACATGAACTACTGCAGCGCGGCCTTTGGCGTCATCGGCCTCGTCAGCGTCGTCACCTGGCTCTTTGACGGGCGCAAGAACTTTACGGGACCCCAGACCCCGGGTATTGTCAATGCCATTGACGCCGCCGGTGGAGGTGGAGGTGGAGGTGACGACGACAAGGGATTGACACCTGACAGAGTGGTGACTGGCGACGTTGATGTGAAGGACACAAAGGATGAGAAGCACGCCATGACGGGTTCGCCCGGAGGGGAAAGCAATGAAACGGTGCCCGTCGGAGATGTGGGCAAGATCGCATAAATCTCGAATGTGTACCTAGTCAGCCAGATAGGTAAGTAGGTGGGTAACAATAGGTGTACTCATAAGGTAATTGTCCAGAATCGGCCGGACTTGGCCAGAACTGGCCGGACGTAGAATTGTCGTGTCATGAAATCCGCACTCAGTTAATTACACTCATTGTATAATCCTAGATGCCTAGTATTAGACACATGGATGGACTGGAGAGATGGATTGGTCAAGAAAATGTCTCTGCAGCTTTCTGTCTCCTGTCTTCTGTCTTGGCCACACGTATTGAATGACATGACATGGCATGGCGTGGGAAAGTGATTATGATTACACTTGTGAACATGATGATTTATATCACAATGTGCTCATGACCATGGATGGGGTTCTTGAGTGTCTGTCTGTCTGTCTGTATTCTAGTCATCCGACCTGTTACCTATGTAGTACTAGCTAGGTAGGCTTTACACTCTAGTTGAACATCTTAATCATTAGGGCATTGTGAAATGGACAAAGCCCTTGCATGCCTGTGGCACGGAGAGCGGGGAAAGCCGGGGATGTTGACTTCATTTGCCATTCGCCCATACTGCCTGATCGTCCGTGTGTGCGTTACCCATTGGTTCTTCCCCCCAAAGTTATCTGCGTGCCTGGTCAGATGTCGCAAACCTCGATCGTAGTCTCAGACATCCATATACAGCATCTATCCCGTGCTTCCATCGGCTGCGCTCCTCTCTTTTCTTTTTCTTTTTTTTTTTCTCCCCCCCAAGTGTTGCTTCTCACTTCGGCGGATAATACGTGTCGTCCTCTCTACCTTTTAGCGCGGGAGATAGAGCTTTGATGCATATGGTGGAGGACGGACTTCGGCTAAGGCTGGTTTCTTCGGCCGATGGACGAGCAGAGGCAGTCTCTGCACATGAGGACTGCCACGATCGACTCTCGGACGGCCTTGATTCTCGTTTTCGCCATCATCGTTGGCTAAGTCGAAGATCGACCTTCGACTGCTCAGGCCGGTCGGCACTGACACGTCTTCCGTGTCGCTGTCTTCGGCGAGCTCGAAGATGGATCCACGGCGGTGCTTCTTCTTTTTCGAGGCCTTTAGGTTTGCCTGTGTTGTAGACACACGGCGTTTGAGCTTGCCTTGTTCACGTGGTGTCGTTGCTATGTTGCAAGCCGGATTTGAGTCGTCGGCAGTTTTGATATTGATCGAGCTCTGATTGTCACTTAACATATTGCCAAGGTTTCTCGGGATAACAAACTCAGATGGCACGTTGTTTGTGCTGAGCTCGCCAAAGGATTTGAAATGAGAGCCCGGAAGGCCGTCCTGGATAGCAGCCTCTGGTGAACTCGATATCGTAGAAAAGGGGAACCTCGAACGCGCGCCCTCCCGGGTTTGACGATCTTTCGAGGTAGCTGTTCTCGAAAACGACTCGTTGATCCCAGAGCGAGCTGGTGTGACCGGCTTAGATTCCTTGCCAACGGAAGTCCTCTGACAGCTTCCTAAGTCGGCATCAGTTGGCGTCTGCTGTGACTGATACGGGAGTCTGTTTCGAGGAGGCTCTGAAGCAGCTCTGGGTTTCCTGGAGACGCTCGTTGTTCCTGGATCCGATGACTGTGATGTCGGGAGCGTAGCCCCTGAAGATTTGCCTCCCACTCGCATGCGCAATGACTCTGCAGATCGTGGTGACCATTTCTTAATGGCAGATAATACTTCCTCCGACAGTCTTTCGTCTGGATCTCTTCTTGGCCATAACCCAAGATGCATGTTTCTCGGAAAAGGCTTGTAAGGTGGCTCGACTGGAGAAGGTGGTCTGGAACTGCTGCGCTTGGTCGAATCTCGAAGACCTAATGAGCTCAGCAACTTCCGAATAGACCCGCTGTCCCGAAATTCAACCACTTGAAACTTTGGGGTTCGCGGTCGCCAGTCTCTGATTGTGCGTTTATACAAATCCTCAAAGTCGTTCTTGTGCACTTCATTGGAGAACCAAGAGTGAGCGAGAGCATCTTCCGCTGTCATTCGAGCGTCCTCGTCGAGCACCAAGAGCCGCTCAACGAACTCCCTCGGCCGTTGTCTCACCGCCTGCCATTCTGTTGACTGGTGAAGAAATTTCAGGTTACAATCTCGGGCCAGCTTTTCCGAATACGTGTTTGTAAGAGGATCGGAGAAAGCCAGACCCCCTGTGAGCAACACGACCGAGACACAGCCAACCGCCCACATGTCCACAGATCGAGTATAACCCGGTCTCTCGGGCTCCAGGTTGCTTCGCGCATATCCCAGTATCTCGCTAGAAGAGGGTCAGTAGATTGAACGGGAAAGATTGCATCAATACCCACGGCGCTGCGTATTCGTGTGTTCCTATAATGGACGACATTCGGTGCATCTTGCTCTCAATTCTCCGAGCTGCACCGAAATCCGTCAACATAACTCGACATCCCGCGGCCTGGCTCGACATGAGAACATTGTCGGGTTTGATATCTCGATGAACGATGTTTTTGTTGTGAAGAAAACGCAAGGCGACCAAGATCTGTCGAACGATGACAGCCGCCTCGACTTCAAGCAGCTTCCCTTTCCTCAGCTCGATGTAGGAAAATAGGTCGCCGGCGCTAACGAGATCTTGCATGATGTATCTGCAAAGTCAGCTGAAACAATGTGCATCAATGATCTCCTTACATGGTGTTGTCAGTAATGTACACCTTTTCGATGCCGACAATGTTCGGCTGCACATCTCAAAATCAGTCACTTCCAAATTGTCTCGAGAGGGGACATTACGTGGCTAATCGAGGTAAGGATTTCCACCTCACGATAGTATGCGCATATCTTTCTCTCCAAGGCGTTCTCTCTTTTTCGCTGGTCTACCCATGCCTTGAACTTGCGTTTTTGGGCTACGCTATCGACTTCTTCAGCTGGAGCGGGTTCCTCTGGCCGTCCAAATAGGAGCAGCGGTCGAGGGCCGAGTTTTCGTAGGTCAACAACTTTGCACGCAACCTGGCGCCGAGCTATCTGTTCAATTGCCATGTATACTCGACCAAAGGTGCCTGCGCCGAGAAGCCTGTCGGTGAGAACGTAGTCTTTGCCGAATTTCTGTGTTTGTCAGTGTGCGCATCGGAAAGGTGTACCTGTCACCGTACTGCCATCTCGGCCTCCTGCGTGTGATCAAAGTTCTCTTTTGCCGCTCCACTGGAGGTGGCGCTGAAGATGAGGTATGTTTGACGGCTCAGTCGCAAGACATCATTGTCACTCAGAAGAAAGCCCCCATTGCCTTTTCCTATGAGAGATCCGTTCCAATAAGTACCATTCTGAGACAGGTCTTCTGCATAGACCAGTGTGTCAATTTCGCAAGGCCCGTCATTCTCGTAGACCACGGTATAGACTCTTAGGTGCCGCTTCGAGATGTAGGGGTCGTTGAGCACATATTGACTATTGGGTGAGTGGCTGTTCAGTAGGGTAGTTCTTGGTCCTTACCAGCGATCATTGTCACGACCAATCACAATCTCGCGGTTAGGATATATCTTTTCCCCTGCAGAAGGCTAGTATGACCACAGACGAATCAAGTACGATGACGATCTTGAACCCACTCCCCAGAATTTTGCCCTTCTGGTTTTTGTGGATGAGCATTCCGGCAGGACTCGGTTTGGAGGAACTATCCCAGGCACTGCCGACACGGCGAACAGCAGAAGACGGAAGTGTAGACATTGCCACAGCAAGGAAAGAAACAGACTTCACAAATGGAACGATGAGGTACGCTGTACCAGGTACTTGGTACTCGACGTGGCTCGGGTATGGACAGAAAGAAAGACTTGCGAGTCGAGGCTGGCTTGACTGGATGGGGGATTGCAGAGTAGCGATCCGGCATCAATCCTGTCTGGCCATGATTGGCGTGGACATCGAGGATGAGGAAGAGTGAAGTGAGGGAACCTGGTGGAACTGCGAACGTGATCGATGACCGCATTGAGAACCTTAGTGCGTTCCAAACGAGTCAAATCCGCCAAGGAAAATCTGGCAGCTGCACACAACAAAATTCCCCGCACAAGTTGCATCTCTGCTTCATCCCATCTCATCTAGCAACCTCATCCTCGAAACCAATCTGTACGTGGCTCTTCCCCCCCGAGACTCGACGAGCAGGACAATTCCATCACAAGCACATGCTAACATACATCAGTCCACATTGAGCGAAGATGAGAGCCAAGTGGAGAAAGAAGCGAGTTCGTCGCCTTAAGCGTAAGAGGAGAAAGACCAGAGCCCGCAGGTAAGTGTCTCGACGTTGTCGTTGCTTGCGCAGAGGGGCGATGTCTAATTGTGACCTACAGCAAGTAATCGCGTCAGCTGCTCCATCGCGTCTCCTCTCTCGACCAATGTCAACGACTCTTCAACCTCTAGCTAGTTCTCGACGTTCAACTTCAGAATCCAACTAGCCCCTCGACCATAACCAACCACGAGCTTTTGTCACCGTTTTGCCACGTGGGAGAGATGCGGTCTTTGAAGAATCGGCCTTGCAAATGTCGAACTCTCACATACGTGGTGTTCGCGTAAGAGGAGTAGGAGATGGTCAAATTCCCAATGGAGCTTCATCGGCGGGTTGCTTATGATGTCTGGGGCATTCCAAAGAGGTTTCGGTTCTCAGAACACCTCGGACAAAGTATATGTGTCCCATGGCTCTCCATCTCTCAAAAATAGAGCTCTGCACCTCACAACATGTCGTCAAGTGCCGTCACTAGCGGTGGTACTCAAAACAGGACTTGAGATAGTCAATACGATCAATTGAGCTCTAAATCTCTACGTGTCTCTTCCGTAGATCCTCTGCTTTGGCGCCCTCGCTTTCCAAGTGTGTAGCATTGCGAGGACCAGCCATCCTAGATCAGAGAACAACATTAGCAAAGAGCACATTTCGAAGCTTGTTTACAAAAACAGTGTGTACCTCGTCGTGTACCAGCCAAAGTCGAGACATTTCGTCGGCCCCCTGCCAGTATCGGGAGCTTGTGCTCAAGCTCATCGTAAAATCTACCTAGTTTTCAGCGAGCAAACA